AATTTAATTCAGCTGTTGATTGTCCCTGATATAAACAAAACAGATGACTGCTCTTTTAAGTCTACTTATGAAATAAAGGAATTAACCATACGAAGGGTACATAGATTTTTTAAAAATCACGAAATTTACCTATTCAGAGAGGTATAGTATGGAGAAACTTGACCCTTCTTCTTACTGTGTCTTATGTAAGGGATTAAAAGTTTTTGAAATCTCTGTTCCATTGATTTTGTTTCTTATATGAAGGTACTATAGGCATTTTTTTATTAAGCTGTCTTTAGACTCAAAATTAATTTTAAAAATATAGGATACTTTAACCATGTGGTTTAGATACACACACACAAAGTCTCAGCTCTTTGACGCTCACTCCTTGAACAGCTCTTTAATGTTTCCATGCATACTCTTCTGCTGTTTTTCTGCTTAGTGTTGTGTCAAGACTCTTTCCGGTATCAACAGAGACCTGTTATAGTTATATAAAATCTCCTGTGTTGTAATGCTATGGTTTATGTAATCGCCTTAACTGCTGAGCATTTGTATTCTTTCTAGATTGTTCTGGCAGTCAACTTGGATTTTCCTGAGCAGACCTGATTGCAGATATTCCAGTACACCCATTAACCACGTGCTGTGACTTTTATATTTGAAAGCATGGTTTCCTTACTCATTGACATTGCTGGACTAATAGTTTTTATTTTTCATTCATCCATTGGACTCTTATGTATCTATCCTATGCCTAGCACTGTATTACATGTTAGGAATACAAGAAGGAATAAGAAACTTCACACCTTTGAGAAGCTAAAGGCTTGATAGGGGAAAATGCCTATAAAAAAATATGATACCTTCAGATTGGTTGAGAAAGAAGCAGTGAACAATGCTGGGCTTGTATAGTTACACGCATACCACATGTTGTATATTCTCTCTTTTAATCCCTATAATAGCCATGGGAAGTACTATTATTAGCTCCTTTATATAGGTGAAAAAAGCAATGCAGAGTGGCTGAGGACTTGGCACGGCCATACGGTAAGTGGTAGAGTGAAGTTTGACGTTTAATCTCTGCAGATTCCAGAGATAGTG